TGAATTAAAGATCGCGGCAAGATATATTGAAACGGGAACGCGCAATACGCTAAATGAAACGCGTTTCATTATCGATCTCGACGAAACCGCGCTTGCATCTCAGGCTTGCGGCGCCGGTGTGTGCGGATAATGGCATTGCCGGTTTGCGGTTTGTACCGTAGCGGCGTTACCTGCCTTAGATGGCTTATTGATTGTCCTGACTATGCTACAGCGCTCGTGTTACAACACGGAATATCGAATGAGAATCGTTCCTGTTCTAAAACGCGTGTCTCGCGTGTGTTACCCTGGCTCCGAGCAAGGTGTTATTGGTGGAACATCAGGCTGAATTGGCAGGTTGCCCAATTCGATTTTTTTCCCAATTTTTTATTTCGAAATAGAAGCTCTGAGGAGTATTTTGCGCCCAGTGTGGCGTGGAGACTTGAAAAAGTAACGGAGATATGAATTCTTTACGAAGAGACTGTATGAAGCGTAATTGTGGCGTGATAAGAGATCATTCACTGAATGGAAATTAAGGCTATTTACGGCCTAAATTTAAGAAACTTGGAAAGTACAGTTTAAGTAATCATAATTTATACTTTCTACGATATTACCATACTATAAGAACGTTTCTAGCACATTCTCCATCGCTCGAATTCTGTCTGTTCTTCATCTCGGAATCCTCGAATCATCCGGAAGTCTTGGATCGATCGTCGGGGATTCGATTAAGATTTTTCGGCGCTGAGCATTCACGGGACCGCGCCGAGAAAGGATTTGATATGGAATTAGCTTCCGCCTGGTGCGATGAAATTTATTTGCTGGAAGGAAAAAGGGGAGATTCCGAGGCGCCACTCGATACGTGAAACGGAGTAGCATACAGCGCGGAACTGGCAAATGTAATTTCGCGAAATGCTTCCATTGATATAAGAAGACTGCACCCCCCGCTGGTATCTAGGGATAAGGACGGCGAAGCTGGGGAGGAAAGATCGGGGAACGGGAAAACGCGGAGGTAGAAAATGGCGAAACGAAAAGAACGACGGAAGGAGGAGCGAAGTCGCGAGAAACTGCAAGCTAGACGGATATATCTTCCGAGTAAATTAAAATGGATTATATATGTCGTCTCCATCTTCAATCTTTCTTCTTTTCCCGCTCTGCTGCATTCCCGAGGCTTTGGATTATTGCTGGAACGACGGGTAATTGTTACTGGCTGGAGGAATATTCACGAGTGAATTTTAAAGCCCAGCCTGAGAAGTTAGAAATACTACGTGTCGAAATTTCAAATCCTACCGTAACGAACACCAGTTTCCAGCAAACAAAAACGTGGAGTTTATTTCTCAACGAGAAGGTCGCGTTTCAGGGTGCAAAGTGTCCGAGGGGTTCCTTCAGCCGAGACACAGGATCGTTCCGGGTGGGACGATCCCAGACACGACGTTTGAAACATCGTTCCCGAAGGTGTGCACGAGGAAGGACCAAGCGAGGGTGTGGTAGTAGGTCGGCGGCCACAATTCTGGAAAGCCCAAGTTGGCTGGCGCGGAAGGTCGGGATACAGAGTCGACCATGATGTATGCCCCTCTTCCGTCTAATTAAACTTGGGGAGGGTCGCAGAGTTGGTTGGTCCGTTGGTACGCTGGCTGGTCGGACAGACGTACGGACGAACAGTGAGGGGCGGTCGTCGGATGGCTTTCCAAATGACAACCTGGGAGCGAGGGAGAACGAGCGAACAAGAGACTCGGAGAAAGACGTCGACCTCTAGCCTGAACGACTGAAACGATTTCGCACGAGGTGTGTTGTAGCGAATTAAACCTTTGCAACCCAGGTTAGGCTTTTTTTTATTAGATGTGCTAGATTTTGATTCAAAGTCCTAATAATTCCAAGCGTCTCTCAACAAGCTTCAAATTCAATTTCTCAAATTATTACACAACCTAGCCTAGACCTAACCCACACCGAGATCTCCGACGGAAAAGAACCGCAACCACAGCCAAGGGAATTCACAAGTCGCCTCCATCAAATTAATTTAATTTATCCTCAGCCGTCCCAGAAATGCACGACGTACCTTTCCCCCCTCGCACCGTTCCCATTGCAACATATCCGTCTCCTTTGATCTAACGTCAGGGAAAACCTGCGCGGCTCTTTTACCTTTTGGACGTCTACGACCGCGGTGTACGCGAGCGTTCTCTCCGCTCCTTATTCGATTGCGGCTATCTATCTACGGGCGTATGTAAACTATGTCCGCGCGCTTTCCCTGAGCCCTGCGTCGATGCGGATCGGCGTCGACGCTCTCGAACGGGGACAGGTTATTGGCGCGCCCCGACGAATTCCTTGGCGCGTATTCCAAAATGTTTCCACGGGGTGAAGCGATGGCTGCAGAATGGCCTGCACTAAACCGAATCCCACTGAACCCAATACTGAAATATCTATAACTTCTTAAACTGAATAGACGTTGACAATTTAAATAAAATTCCAATAGGCAAACACACGATTTCTTAGAAAAAATACAGTTAAACTGCCACATTAACGAGACTATCATGAAACTTCCACATAAACACTACCTGTTCAATTTTCCATCAGCATAAAAGCTTCGAAACTATCTAAAACAACAAAAATCAATGAAAACTCGCAATTTTCTCCAACTCCACCCCTTGAAACTGCTATTTCGACATAGGATCGAAATCCCGGAACGCGTTCCATTCGGTTCAGGGCAGCATTCGTCGTTCCAGACATCTGTTCTCTAGTAATTACCAGGGCGAAACAGTCACGCTGGTCCGTGCACCGCGAGTGTTAGTCCTTGTTGCGAGCATAAGTCATCGCGGTGGAGAGATTAGGACGCTAAATCAAGCCTGTTGAGACCGTAATTCGTTCGCTGAAAAAAGGGAGCCCCGAGAGGAGAAGGGGGTTCTTAAAGAGGCTGGCAAACGTAGCGAATACACACTTGGCCCCCGAGTCGCTTACTCTTTTAAGGCGTAATATGTATCCAGCGCCGCGAATGAATTCCAGTTCGCGGTACAGTCGCTTAATCGCTCGTAATAACGCCGAGACGAATGCCCCGCGGGACGACCGTCGCGAAAAACCGCTGTAATTTCTGGCAGCGGATACCGCGTAATGGCGCTCGCCATGCAGCGTCGAGCCGGGGATCCATGAATCGTGAGCCCTGATGCACTTATTTTTACCTCGTAATTGTTCCTAATTTATCGCCGGTGGCGCTCTCACGGGTTAATTTCGAAGCGGAATCGGCCGACGGAAGAGCGAATAGATTTTAGGTCACGGCATTCCCACAAACGTCTTCGACCACGCGCCTCTCTAGAAATACGCTTAGCTTTCGCGCCGTTGGGGTATTTACGGTGCCATGAAAGGAAATGATTAATGGGAAATATCGTCGAGGAGGAGGAGGAGGAAATTCTGAAAATTTAAACGATTTTTTAATGAGTGTGCTGGTGACGGTCGTTGGCAGAAAGCGGAAATCGGAGATTGGAGATGGAACGGGGTGAAAGAGAATCTTGTACTGACCTAATAAGTCCTGACTGACTGTATTTATAATCATGGTGAAATATCAATTTTTGAGTTTTAAATAGATGAATCAGAAATGGTGTGACCATTACACCATTCTAAATAACCCAGACCTAACTCAGCACTCCCACATCGCGAATCAAGAAGTACCATCGCAAAGGGTGCCAACCATCCCCCCTCGACTAACATTAAAATCCTTTCAGGCCTAACATCGCGCATGACACCGTTAACTCTCGGGTTGCCGGTGGCTTTCGACGTCGCGATTAACCGAACAAGAGGAACGACGATGCTCGGTATCGGGGCACGGCGGGCTCGTCTTTTCACGAGCGTGATATCGTCACCGTCCAAACAGCGTATATGCATTAAACCATGAACCCACTATCCCCGACGTCATATCCAATACACGTTGTTAAAGGGGTGGGGAGCTTGCCGAAGCTGGCGGAGCAGCGCGGAGGAAGCCACGGTCAGAGGGTTGGGAGAGGTTTGGATGGTTGCTGGGTGGTTTCGAGGGTGGCTGCCAACCCTCCGCACCCCTCCCCCTGCCGGTGCGGTAATGGCATTAACCGAGCTGCAATATGATTACCGCTCTCGCAAGGTAACCTGATCACACCCGAAAGCTATGGGGTGTTCGTAGTATGAGGGACAATGTACCGCGCTCCGAATTGCTGCGCAACGTTACGCGACCGCGGTTACCAACCCCCCGGACTCCCTTCCCAGTTTCCCTTTAATCGCGTTGCGCTTTTTGCGGCTCAGATTACCCGTGAATCATTAGACCAGCTCCAGGGTGGCGGCGCGGGGCGCTCCTTATCTAGGCATTAGGAGATTACCGTCCCCCATGCCCCTGCGCATAGCGTTTTTCCGTCTTCGTTTCTTTTCCTTTGGGGGTTTAGTTTTTCCTCCGGGGTGAAAGCAATTTGGGAAATGTTTCTTTTTGCCACGCTCGCCGCGTCGTTTATCTCCGCGAGTCGAAATTCTCTTCCTATTGGGAGGATTCGCGATTTGACTTTTCATAGGACATTGAAATGAACTCTTTGAACTCGATGGTTGGTGATATTTATTCTAGTCGACAGATAGTTTAGAGGGTTACGGCGTCTCGATTTGTGAATATTTTCAATTATTCAAACACCGATTTCATTAAGTACACCGAAATGAAGAAATTCTGTTAAGAAAAAAAGAGCTCAAAGAGCAAACCTCAATTTTCCTAATGACATAACCTTTAATTAACCTAACCTTCCATAATACTCTATGAATGTCAACTGTAATTATCTCTGGTACAGATTGATAACTGTCCACAATTGGACGCTTCACGAGCTAGATTTTCTGTATCTCGATGACTGAAGGACGACGTTCCTATGCTTTTCGAGTCTCAGTTGCTACGAATGATACATCACCGCGAAGAGAGAAGCTAGTTGATGAAGACGACGAACGACGAGGTCGTCGCTCGGCGACGCGTTCGGACGACTCGCGGACAGGAACGCCGTCGAGACGCCACGCGACGAAAGACGGATGTAGACACTTACCGTGAGGTGTTGAAACAGCCACGCCCTGAGGATGTTGGTCGCGACCTTGGGGAAGATACCCCTCTTCTTCTGGTTCTTCTTACCCGTAGAATCGTCGTCTTCCTCGCCGGTGCCCTCGCCGCTGCCGATACTCGCGTTACTCGCGTCACCTGCAACATTTGGTAAACAATACTCATTACTAGAAAGCTGAGGTGTTGCCAAAAAAGTAGTCGTACTTCTTGAAAGAAATAGGAGATCATTGAAATATAAACAAATGCCAAATCGATAATCTCAGGTAAAAATGCGCCTCGAATTGCGAACATAGTTATTGTTCCAAAAGCAATATCCCGAACGATCGGAATACATTATCAGGGATAAGATTTCGCAGCGCTCCGATTTTCGGCGCAAACTATACCCAGCGATAACTACCCCACCCTTAAAGCCGGTTCCCATGCATACAAACACCATTAAGCCACCCGCAATCACCCTGTCCCTCTTTCGCTCGCTGGCCCCTAAACGTTTCAGCCCCGATTCCGAGGGTCCTTTCCATCCCTTCTTTTCCACCCCCTGGACGCATTAATTCCCCGTCATTTATCAATCTTAGCTTTTTAATTGCACGGGTCACCGGGGATTCGAGCTGCGAGACGGTAATGAGAGATATTAAGACGGCTTACGGTCACGCTTACGCGAGGCAAATATCATTTTTATAAATTATCGGCCAGCAGGCAGTTACAGGTACCCCCTCCCCTCTCACGCCAGATCCATGCCACGCATTAATTAAGTCGAAACCTGATGAACTCGTTCGACTATATCGAAACCCTCAAAACTGGCCACTAAATCTTCAGGGATTTAATTCAACTGTTCGAAAGAAATTGTGATAAAATACTCAATTCAAGGCATCGTGTTACAATAAATGAACTCGTATGATAGGTCGATAAATTTGTACGAATGTATGATGTCTTGTTCTGGATACGCGCATATAAGATTCCATTAAAATTTTTTCGAATTCCCCCTTAATAATTCACTTACAAATAAAATATTTACTCTTCTACGAAATAACTTTTTTGATAGCTAAGAACTATTCCTCTCCCCCTCCCTCGAATCTCCAGGCTGAAACCATAATGCCATCTCGTCTCAACTCGTCAGTAGTGAATTGTAACGCGCGAAAACGGTCCCAGCCGGCAGCGAGAGGGCATCATCATCAGAATTCACCTGACGTCCCCGTCGATCCATCTCGCTAGAGCGGACCGGAAGTTCCCTTTATGCCTTTCTCTCTCAATCAGCGCGGAAGGAGAACGCCGGGCTACTTACGCCGACGGATTATAAATGACCGAGCCTTATCGCGCTGCCCAAGGCTCCGGTTCCCAAGGTTCTATCGTAACAGAGAGATCAGGGTGAGCGCAGTGCTCCCAGGGGTTTCACGATGACAGGTCGCCCGGGGCGCCTGCGTCCAGAGAACGCAGACGAAGATTAACTTTGAATTCGTCCCGAACGGACCTTCCAGAGGAGGGTGAAGGTGACGTAAGGTCGTCAAAGGAGGACGAAAAATTTGTCCGTCGCGGGAGCAGACGGCCTGGAACGACGGGAGATCGATGGGAATTGGTCCTACGCGCGACGTGTCCTTTCCTCGATCCAGAGAGAAGGAAACAGGATGGAGCCAAGGAGGATCGACTTCGATCACTATGAAAGGACCACCTGCCATTCGAATCGGGGCGATTCCAAGGGGTGTTCTTTGGGGGTACTAGCGAAGATAATGGACTAGGGGAGCGTCGGAATGTTGGATTATGGGTGACAATGGTTCGGGAGTTTCTTTCAACGGGGATGATTTCAGGAGTTGATGAGGATGAGTCTAGTGTAGAGAATTTTCATTGTTTCGACTTAGTTAGATTGAACGATAACCATATGAATCAATTATGCATCTTTGCTTAAAATTGTCTGCGTTTTCTCGGATATGTACACAAATTTCCACTGGCACTCAATGGGTTAAATATCCAAAGCAAGTGCTGTACGCCTCCAGAATCTATGTACCACCTCCCATCTTGACCAGGTAAACAACACAAAACCCAACAGCTCAGTAAGATTCAACGAACCACCTCGCTTTGTCGAAGACCGAGTGCGCGTAACCGCGCAATAACCACCAAGAAATCACGTCATCAGCGTGAATCCTCACGGTTGGCTTCACAAGGAGCCAGGAGTCTTGGCGTCGCCGGCGTCTCTCTCCGTCGAGGGGGGCAGGCTTGTTTTCGTCCAGCACTCGAGGAGCCGTTTTGCGGTGGTCCTTGTGCTCGCAACAAAAACGACGTTAAGGTCCTCTCGTCCTCCCTTATTCCGCGTCCTAACGGCCGGCGAGCGAATAGAGCGGTCTAGAGGCGCTTTGGAACGGCTAGCGGAATAACGGAATGGCCAGCGGACCGTCCCCCTGATTGCAGTTAATTTACTCGGTGAATCGAGTTAATGTACCGTGCCGATCGTACGCTGCCGTTACGGGGACCCTGACGTATCAGCCGAAGAAGCGCGCCTCCGCTCGTCAGGAATTTCTCATTTCCGCGGGAGAAACTAATCCCGGCCGAAAAAGCGTCCCGAGCGGGACAAGAAATTGAAGATGAACGCCGTGAACCGGACGTACTGCTGAGAAACGTGTTCTTGGAGAACCAGGACGTGCTCGAGGGGAGTGCTTGACCGAGGGAGAATGTTACGCGGACGTGGTATGGCTGGGAGTCTAGTTGGCGAGGTAAGAGATGTTTGATAATTTGGGTAGTAGAGACTTGTGTTTGAGAGAAATTTAGGACGTAGTTGACCTAGGTGAGTGAGACATTGCACGCTTTGGACTGACGTTTTCTACATGTCTAAATTGTGACTTGGTGTAGGTGGATCCAGTATATTTGAAGAAAAGAATCAATTGATGAAGTATCAATCTATTTAAAAAATTTTAATTAATGATTCAACCGGAGCCATCCCTCGTAATCAAGTAATTTCAAAACCTTGCTTGTCCCAATGATTATAAAACATACCGCCTTATCTCTCTCCTTTCTTACCTACCCAGTGCAAAATTCTCTATTTGCTGAAAATAAAGATTAAACATCCCATGTTCCTATAAATCTCTCTCCCGTCGCGGAATCCCCTCCAATCCCTATCGACACGCAATTAAGAATCCCAGCCGAGCGTGCGCCTTTTGAAGCGCATGTGCCGCGCGCGTAATCCAGCTGCGTCGCCGTTCACGCGTGACCGACAGCCCACGTCCTGTCGCTGATAAGGCGACGCCGTTTCTCCAACCTGGATCGAGATCGACGACTCCCGAGCATCGTAACGACGCAAAACGACAATCTCGACCCCGCGAAACAAGTGTCCCGGATTCGTCGAAAATTAAACGCTCGCCGAATCGAGCCCGAATTTACCGCGGCGATAAATCGCCCGGCGGAAAGTCGCGAAAATTGTCCACGGCGCGCGCCCGTTGGGCGTTTACGAGGCACCCGCGTGGCCCTCCGTGCGGCGCGAGGGGCCATATCGTGCCCGTGTTGATTTACGCGGCGCACCGCGCATTTTTACTGCCGCGTTATAGAGATTTAAGTGCGGCCAATTATACGTTTACGCCGTCCCCGTGCGAAGGGAAGACGCGCGGCGTCCCGACGACTGCGACCGTCGGGGAGAATAACGCTCTCTCGCGCGCGAGTTCTTTCTTTCCGTGCTGTCGCGGGCTATACTTAGCCGATGGGTCAAGAATAAGCCAAGTCTCACGTCGGGCTGACTATACGCTATTTCGAGATGGCGAGCGGACTGCCGAAACACGCGGTCCCACGTCGATGCGCTCCGCCGTCGCTTGAGAAATGCTCTGGACGATGGGGACACGATAGAGCTTGATTCACGGACTGATTCAAATTATTGGACGGTGTTTCATTGTATTATTTTATATTTCATTGTATTTGAGGACGTAATGGAACATACATTAATTGTTGCACCTATTGAGACACATTGGAGGATGTCTGTGCTAGTACGTCTCATTCTAATGTAGTCCTGTTGTACTGGGACCGATTGTACCAGACATCAAATTGTACAGATGTGAATAACTTTCAGGTCTTGTTGAGGAATTTCTAGATGACACTCTACAAGGTACAGATTGTATATACACATAGAGCCTCAGCATTTTATATAGTAATAACTATCCTCAAAGCTATAGTGGAAATTCTCCAGCAAGAGGAGTCTTCCAAACACTACTCATCGCTACATCAGCTACATTGAACCTCGAAATTGTTGACTTTAATAAACTCTATTACCAAGGAGTACATTTACTTTCTGCCGTTCATTATCATTTTCGTCCCTACGTCCATAGAATTCATAGCTATGCGCTAGGACGGCCAGGTGCGCAAGAAATCTGTTCCCCGCCCACGCAATCGTTTTCTATCAACGGGTAATTGCAGCAGAATTGAAGAATGGTTAATAACATCCAACGATTGGTCTCCCGTCTTTATAAATACGTACAAAGTCTACCGTCTGGCGAGATACCCATCAGGCAATCCTGAGAAGGATTCAAAGCCCCGCAGCGTCGACGGGCTGCTCGCGCGTCGATTAACCAGGCACATAATGACCGAGGAAAAATGCTAATAATCATAATCGAAAACCAATAAGGCACACCGCTACGTGATCATTAGTCGTCGCGGCGAGTAAGGAGAGATCCCACCAGCGGGTCTAAACGCCACGATAACACAATAATTTCAAACGGGAACAGGTAGCAATTAGCGTCACGCGCCCGCGAGGCGTCGTTTATGCGTGCAATCGTCGAGGAGAACGTTCGTATAAAAGACACCGTGGCGGTCCGGGAATCCAGGATGACAACGGGGACAGAGGCCACCGAAAACGTCTTCCTCGGAGACGAGGCCCCTACCTCTATTTAGGGTGGCCGCGCGGACTGTCGAAATAAACCGCGCATATGGCCGCCAAAAATAAACTCCTTATTCCCATCCCGTCGAACCGAGGACCGTGGTTCCCTCCTCCAACATCTCTTCCCTTTCCTCATGCCCTCCTCGCGAGGTACGTTTCGGTGGGCTTCTTCCATCCGCGCGGATCCGCTTCGGGACTCGGACGTCTTTAAGCTCCGTTTTCACGTGACAAGTCGCCATGTTTAAGAGCCAAAATAAATCCAGTATGGTAAGAATTTACTGCCTCTTCTCTTTTA